CTAGGATTAAGGTCTGCAGTCATGTGTGAAACCATGCTGCTGCAGAATGCAGTGCTGCCATATGGATGCTGTTACTTGGGTGGAAGTATGCCAAAGACATTAATAACATTTCCATTGTGCCTACACACTTCAGATAAGAGCAGGAGCTGATTTAATAATGTAGTTTCTGTTGCACAGTAGCAAATCTCTGTTTCTTTTCTTGATTCATTTCTTGCTTGGAAAGCTACTGTACAGTAATTGAAAATAGCATAAATGGAGATATTCATCTCTTCAAATTTTGGTGGCATTGCTTAAAAAAAAGTTCTGACTAATTCAGTTTGGAGAGGTTAGATTTTACTAAAGAAACAAACAAGTAGTGGAAAAACTTTTGTAATGATCAACAAAATAATTCCGTGTGCATGTAGAAGACTAGGTCAGGGAACACAAGGTGAGAAAAGTTAACCTTTATCAACATTTTTTTCAGATACGCATTTTTTAAAAAAATGTGACTGAAAGGTTCCATTTCAATTTCTGGTTCATAACGTTTCATATTTCAATTTTATTATTTTAAGCCCAAACCACTAAGCATTAAATTAAATGTATATATAAATCTTTGTCCCTGACGTTGCAGTAATGAGTTGGACTGTGCCAGTCTCCAGCAGGGCTGGTAATAACTAGTTTTGACTTCATTTCATGCGTTTTTCTATTACAATCTGGATTGATGGTAATATAATGTTAGGATTAGCTGATTTTATTGGCATAAGGATGAGAATTCCCCTTTCAGATCAAAATAACTTGAATAGCTTTTCATTTTGGATTTCATATTTGGATTTCTAGATGATTCTTAAACTGAAAAATGCCTTCTTCCAATAGAAAAGGTCTTACAGCTTGAGTTTGTAAGATGAGACAGATTTGTCTTTCAGACATTTTTAAGAAAACTACACCATAAAGAGAAGCAAGATCTGCCTGCTCCAATTTTGCTTTCTTTTGCTTTTTGGCTTAAAAGGGATTGTTTTTTTGGCTGTTAATGTAACAAGCTGTTTACCTTGGCAGAGCCGTGCCTACGACCAGCCTTTGTTGATTAACAAACAAAACTAGTTTGAGCTCACTGTCCATGGAGTGTTTTCTCACATCATAAATCACTGTGCAAATCGGGGCACTTAGTTAGCCCTGTTCCTGAGGAGAAGTCTAGCTCAGCACTTCAGGAATGAAGTATGATTTACTTGCAGATGCAAAACTGAGATCCAGTTAGCCTGCCTGGATCGGTATTGCCTCCAGTATCAATCCAGCTTCCGTAAAGACAAAATTTCTCATCAAGAGAAACAAAAAAGACTAAATTTGACTGGCAGGATGAATGTTTCAAATCTCAGTTTGAGAAAGTGGCGTTGTTTAGTACGCTTTAGAAAGTGACCTTGATTTAAAAACTGCAATTTTATAAATTTTGGCTATAAATTATGAAACACTTTTAGGCTTTCATATGCTCTTCAGTAGTGTTTTGAATGAGAAGTTTGAGTACCTTCCCATCAGTTTGTCACAGTCTGTACACTTGTAGGTGTGCTCTTAACCCCTCTTTCCAAACTGTGCTCTTGCTTTTCTTGTAGAGTTTATAAACGTCTTAATTGTGTGGTCCATTTTTGGTGACTTTATGTTTCTGTTTGTTTACATACACTTATGTTACAGTAATCAAATCCTCTGAGAAGAGACGGTATTTAAAAATATTTATATAAATTTCTCAATAAGTAGAAAAAATTGTAGACAGAGAAGAGCCTCTACAGTAAAGAAGTTTTTTGTTTGTTTAATTAAATTTCTAATAAAACAAAAGTGGCTGAACAGCTGTCTGCTTAAGAATTAGTGCAAGGCAGGCAGACTTCAAGAAGATAACTCTGGTGCTTCCAGCCTACCCAAACAGCTGCAGTGTTGAATCAGCAGCCATCTTCTACCTGTTCTCTTTTTGTAAGAGAACATAAATCGTAAGAGTGAAACTGTCAAGACTCATGTTACTTTTACAGCCTTCTCTGCAAGGGAAAACTGCAGGGACAGCAACAGGCATAGCTACTAGCACTCTCAAACCATTCAACTTGGAGAATGGGCGAGTTGCTTGCTTTCCTTCAGTATGTTTTGTTGAAGTCTGAATGTTGAGAAGTGTTTGAAGAATTAGTAGTCCGAGCCAGCCCGATTCTTGCTTCTTTCCTGTCTCATCATTACACCTTTGGGTTGTGCTAACTGTAATGGTTAGCTCAACAGATTCTCCAGTTAGTGTAGCTTTTTGCATGGAAGACATACAGAAACTCTACCAAAGATAGTGTGAAATGCCTCAGCGGTTGTGGTGAGATGCTGCAGGACAACTAGGTGGGTTTAAAAATTGTTTGGATGGTTGAGCTCGAAGGGTTGGGCTTTTCAGACCTTCTCTAAGTCTTTGAGACCTTAAGAGTCCAAACATCATGCCTGTTGGAGTCTCCCAGGATGGCAAGTCTGGAAGCTAGAAGTTTATAGTTTCTTGCTATTGTTGTACTTCAGGATGTGCAATTGCAGAGTAGTTTCAGTGCCCTTGTAGTTGATAAGAAGACTGGTGTTCAGTCCAAAAAGTTACATAAGCCAGTTAAACCAGAGCCTCGAGAAAGTGGCAAGCGATGGCAATAGGGAAATTCCCTGCTATGGAAGTTGGAGGATCCCATCTGATGACCTGACCTATCATGGAGGTTTGCTGCTTGCTAGCAGCTTAGGTCTAGAATGTTGTGGAAAGGCTGATGAGGCTTGCGTCACTCTTAAAGTGCCCTGTTGCCTTGCCACCACATAGGCTCTAATGATGCTGTCAGTTGTGACTACATAGGTCTGGGGCCATGGTTAAGGGCATAAGTGCCTGGGCATTTTTGTCCTTGATCTTTTTGGTGAGAGGGAAGTGTGTGAGAAGGAGTGGATGGATCCAGCGGGTAAATATTTGCTAATGTCAGCAATAGAGTTTTAGTTTTGTGAGCATGGGACCCTCTTTGAGAGTAGCTTGAAAAAGATGTGATCCACCAGAGTGGGACAAAAGCATCTTTGCTTACAGACCAGCTAATCAGATGAGAAGAGCTTTAAATCAATAATGGTGGGGGAGGGAGATAACCAACACTCTCAAGCAAAATGTATAGGGTGATGCAAACAGTAGGGACTTTGTAATCAACAAAACAGAACTGAAGGCAACCCATCCCAAACATACCCATATAAAAACAAGGAAGTGCCCATCAGAACTATTGGGAAAGCTCTCATGCTCTCTCTGGAAATCAGGATGGCCGGGTTCTTCTCTTAAATGTCTGTGCTCTAATGCACCTAGCATGTGGTCCAAAGGACCCAAAGTAGTTAGGTCTGACCTTACAGCTAGCCCTGAACTGAACAAAAAGTCCTTAGAAGGACCCTCTGAGATTCTTCCCAGCCTGAATGTCTGAAGTTTCAGTTCTATTTTGCATGTTAACTTGTAATGTATGTGGTGCCACTCTTTGTCTCCTGTTGTTTGTTTAGTAGATAGCAGGCCTCTTGTACGTGGTTATTGTATGTTTTTTGTGCTTCACAAAAGAAGCAATAGATAAATATAATCAGCTGTAGCTTTGTGCCTGGGATGTATCTGTAAGTCAGAATGCTCTTTTAGCTATGACTTGCAAGATCTGGGGGAGGAAGGAAGATGTTCAGCATTGTCTGTGTGACATTTTGGGGGAGTGGAAAGGAATAATTGTGCTTTCCTGTCAGCTTAATTCAGTGCAGTCCTTGGGGCTTCTATAGTTAGTCAGAACCTTTCCACGGTCTGTTAGCTTTGCTTTGTAAGTTGTGTTGCCTGTTTGATGGCCCGGTATTGCAGGATTTATGCAGCACAGTCATTCTTGTAGAAAGCACATACCTATTGTTCTCCTGTTTCCTTTCAGTGGTTGCAGTGTGAAGGTTGGTGGAACGTCCTGGGGCATGGTTTTCCACTGAAGAAAACAGGGGGGAGGCATTACAAATACAACTATCTGTGACCTTGCCAGTCAGGCCCCTCCTACAAGATGTTTGATGAATTGCTAAATATAACCATTGCTACTATATTTGAATACCTCAAATCCATTCTTTTTGATTCTTCAAATGATTTTTTTTTTCTGTATTTATTACTTCCCTAATTCTCTACAGCGACTTTGCAGTATATATCGCCCCATGTGTGTGGTTTCAGGGGTCCTTCCAGGAAAAGAAATGACTCACCATGTAATGGTAGCAAGCTTGTAACATCTCTGATAGCAGACATTCAGAGCAGCAGGAATATTTCATCTTCACATCCTCTGATTAAGAATTACAGATGAAAGGAAATTTTTCTCCTGTTGGTGAAACTCTGTGAGAGCATTGTTCGTGCACCAGAGCTTTGCATTTCTGTGTAAATCATAGTGAACTCAGCATTATACTGGAAAAAAAATTATCTTGATAAATGCTCTTTAATTTATCAGGGATGTATCTAGCAAAGTAGGTGCAGTGGCTTGGGATGCTTATGTAACTTGTCCAGAAAGAAAATGCTTCAAAAGTCAAAGAAATATTGCTAGATGTTTTCCAAGAAATAAACTTTGTAATGCTGCTAGAGTAGTTATGCTGAAGCTGCACAGATTTAAAAATGTAAGCCATTTGTTGCGTTAGCTGTGATGAGCATTAGTGTGCTTCCTTTTTTTTTGCCTCCTCACTTAGGAGTTATCCACTAAAATGTTACTGTTACAAGTTGCCTATTTTATGTGCTTCCTTGCTTAAAGAAATTACATTACTTTCACTGATTGGATTGGTGTTTCTTATTTGAGAAGGTGCAGAAACGTAGATGCACAGTTACTGATTTTGTAATGTGTGTTTTTCTCTTTTAGTGGAGGCGATTGTGGAGTTCGACTACAAAGCTCAACATGATGATGAGCTGACAATCACTGTAGGTGACATAATCACCAATATCAAGAAAGATGATGGAGGCTGGTGGGAAGGACAGCTCAAAGGCAGAAGAGGTTTGTTCCCTGACAACTTTGTAAGAGTGAGTACAAAGTGGAACTGTTCTTGTGTTGTATGTATATGTTTTGTGTATTATGCTGTTCAGATTGTCAGCCTTGATATCATATTTCTTCGATCCAAGACTGTGATATACTGCAATATAATGTTCCACAGGGGCTGCATTAGAAAGGAAAGACTGATTTATTGTAAAGACAATATAGTATCAATATGCTGAAAGTAAAAATAACTACCCCTGCCATTCTCTGCTTTTCAGTTGTCATGCCTGGCTGTGTTGTCTGGGAGCAAAGTAATCATTCTAGAACAACCTATGTGTCAAAAGAAATAAAACGGTCTGTGGTCTCTTCCATGGCGTTTGCAATACTATCTTCTCTCTGTAGCTGTTGCTTCTTCTTCTCCAGATTGCTTCCTTGGGTTTTGTAGAAGGTTTATATAAATACTTATTGATAGCTGAACTAGCTGAGAATAATTAAAGTGGATCTTTTTCTAAACAATTACCTACAAAAAAACTTACCAAAATACATTGTTATTTGGTATTTCATGTAATCTACCAAATAACTTGCAATAATACTGATTTTAGGAAAGCCGTTCAGAGTTTTAGAAATGAAAATATATACATGTATGTCTTTTTTACTGAACATCTTTGTGTGTTTGGATATGTTTGTACACATCTTTATCAATGACCTAGATAGTGGGATTGAGGATGCTTCATCCTCACTTGAAGACATTCAGGGCCTGGTTGGATGGGCTCCAGGTGGCCTGATCTAGTGCCTGACTTAGTGGCTGGCAGCCCTGCCCAGGATAGGGGTGTTGGAACTGGATGATCTTTAAGGTCCCTTCCAAGCATTCTGTGAGTACCTCTGGGCCTCCATGGTGTGTCACTTTAGTCCTTGGCTGTTAGTTTCTATAAATCTCTGTAACCTTATCTTTCTAGCTATGGAAAAGAGAACAAGGGCTACATTAAACTACATAAATGGGCTTTTTGTTAGTTTGTTATTGCAGTTTCAGAGGGACTTTCCACTTTCAAAGGGTGTCAATCTTTTTTTCTCCTTCTAACTGGGAGCCTGTTGTGCGTTTATACATATACATGTAATAAAGTTATTTCACTTTTTTTCCACAACATTCCATACATCAAGATAATTTGGGACTGTGGTAATTCAGCAAATTTGTAGGCTCTGTAGCAGGGGGACTTGGGAGCCTCAGGTGTTGCAATAGGAAAAAATATACCCACATAGTAATACTTGTTCTTGTACTTGCCAAGAGTAAAGAATAGCTCTTTAGCTGTCAGGCAGCAATGAGGAGGAGGAAGTCAGAGACTCAAGGATATGAAAGAGAGTGAAGGGAAAAAATGGATATCTCATTTCTTGCTAATCTCTGAAAATCCACATTTTGGGACTCATTATGTATCAATAATATTTTTCTTTAACTTTGGTAGACTGCTGTTGTGGTTTAACCCAGCAGGCGGCTAAGCACCACAGCTGTTCACTCACCTCTTCTTCTTCCCAGTGGGATAGGGGAAGAGAATCAGGGAAAAAACAAGTAGAACTTGTGGGTTGAGATAAAGCTATTTACTGTTTACTAAGATAGAGAAAAGGATAAGGGTAATAATTACGACAAATCTATCTATCTGTATATAGAGAGATATTATCCTTTTCCAGTGAGCTGCCCTAATTCTGTTCCCTTACAGCTCCTTGAGCCCTTCACTGAGAATGGCCTTGGCTCTGTGCGACACTGCTTAGCAGCACCTGTAAACATTGATGTGTTATCAGCATTGTTTTTCTCCTGGAACCAAAACATAATGTCATACCAAACACTGAAGAAAACAATTCTCTGTTCCAGTTGAAACTAAGACACTTAAAAAGTTCTCTGGGATAAAAGCAGTTTTCTCTAAGCTTTCTCCTGGCTGGTATTTGAAATTTGCTGCTGATTTTAGGAGCATTGAATTCAGTGACCTAAATGAATGTGGCCTGTGAATTTCTGTTATGAAAATATCATAATATACGTACGAAGGCAAGTTCTTTTCATTAATACCTAATTTTTATGGCCTCTTCTTTCCAAAATGACTTCAATCTGTGGTGTTCAGTCAAATGATTAAAAAAAATAGTTTGGTTTCAGTCGGAAGTTCTGGAACAATAATACATGTTTTGTATTCTGTGCTCACATGCAGGATCGGTACATTTTTTTCCCTAAATTTTTTCTTAATTTTTTCTGAAGTCAGCACTGAGAACTGTTTTCTGAAGAACTAGAAACCACATTAAGTTCTTCCTCATTCTCATATCATGCTTGAATGCAAAGTCAGATGCACTGTTGTGTAGCTGATCTTTCCCTCTCTAAATTAGGTAATACGCGGTAGAAAATACAGGCTTCCTAAAAAAGTGATTTGTGAATATCTTCAGTGAAAAACTTCATCTTTCTTCAGTTTTTCTCATGGAAATATCCTTAAACATGGGGAGCTATATTCAACCATTACCATTGCTGAGTTTATTGATTGTAATCTTTCTATCCATTAAGATTACAAGTGATTGCAAACATTCTCTTTTGGTTGTCATAGAATCATAGAATCAATTGTGTTGGAAAGGACCTTCAAACATCATCTAGTCCAAGTCCTCTGCAATGAACAAGGGCATCCAAAGCTAGGCGAGGGTGTGCTGAATACAGTTCAGCATGTGCAGTTGGGTTCACTAGCAATGAATTCATGGCTTATTGCAAGGAACCCTAACTATTTTGTGGTGTTAGGAAGGTGATTGAGAGACAGGCAAAAAGGGACACTATGGAGGAATGGTGGAGTTGAATGCAACTCCAGATTTGCACTGCTTATCAGAACTGGTTGTAAGAGCTGTTGCTTGAGAACATTATTTAGAGGTAAATATCAGTACTGAAATTCTTGAGATACTTTACATGCTGCTTTCAAGTGAAAGGAATGACTGCTCATGGAAAATAACTTTTCTTTCCTTCATGTGATTTCCTTTTGAATGAATTTATGACAGCATTCCACAGAAACTGTTGGGTTTTTCAAAAAAATCAAATGTTTGGGCTGATTTGAAACCACTCAATTAACACGGTCAGGGTGCTCTAGGGGTAATGGTTGCCATGTATTCATACATTCAGCTTGGGAAAAAAGATCTGTGAATCAAAGATGACATTAAAATAAGTTAACATGGAATGTTATTTAAGAAAAAGACATGTATTTTTCAAGAGTGCTACATTTTCACGTGGAAAAAGCTTCTGAAATTGTCTTTAGCAAAAGTGTATTTAAATTTCACAGAAAAAAATGCAAATTAAGAGACAGATGTGGGAAAGAAAGAGGAAAAGGGAGGTAGCAATGATGTGTATGCAATGCATACGCAGTAATGCTTTTCAGAGGACTTTCACTATGAAGTTCTGTCAGAGATGCTTCCTGTTCTCAAATCTGCAAAACAGCCACTCTGAATTTTAACACAGACACACTTACACACCCGAACAAATACAGGTTTATACTCTTCTTATGCTCTGCAATTCAGTATGCAAGGCGGAACAGAAAAGGTATTTGTGATTTATTTTCTCTGTCCCTTTTCAGTGCTGATTAATCTGCAGCTATGGTCAGCTGGAAGGTTTTCTGGGAGAAGTTTGTATAAATGGAAGCAACTTGTTTAAGGTGTAATTTACTACCGTCAGTCACTGCAGATACCTTGTCTTTGTTAGAGATACTGATGCTGAATTTATAAGAAATGTATGAAATGTGCATCTGGTCATTGTCTTTTCTGCTTTCTTTATATTTTTGGGTAGAGAAATGTAAGTAGGAATGAGCGGAGGTTGTTCTGTTCCTAGTTATCTGCTTTACTGTTCATTACACAGTCAAAAAAGAGGAGGTAGAAGGTGTAATTACAGTGCTTATTTGTATGGTTTAAAGTTGGTTTTCTGCATCTTTTTAAACTGAAAACTTCAGCGTGAAATCCAAAATCTGTATTTTCATAACCAGAAAATAAAGTAAATATGGATGATACATACTGTACTAGTTTTTCTCTTGTATATCTTTAAGAAACGGCATTAGGAGGCAGTTGGGAGGCTGTTGTTTTTTTCTAGGTCTTGTTTTAACCAGTTCCTTGTGTAAGTTTGCACTGCAGTGTAAAACTGAATTTGTGAGTGCAACAGCAGCTGAGACAGTTAAGATTTTGCTGATAGCAGATGGAGATGTAGAAAGCAGGAAACTGTGGTGCAGTGCCATGACTGCCTGTTTTAATTTACGAAGCCAATTCCATGTGGGATGAGATAGTGTTACACTGGTAAACTGAACTGCTGCGTGTGACTACCTTCAGTCTTGCCTGCTCACCATGGGACCTGCAGATATTGCCAGAACTTGGAGGGGAGAGATTTATTTTTTTTTTCAGATTGGCAAGAAGAGTGGTTGTAGTTATTTTTGAAGTTGCTGAGTTTAGCTAGGTTTTTAGAATCAGTGAAACAGGACGGGGGCTTTGTGTAATTGCACTGCTATCTCAAGTTGGAATGGCAGCCTGTCTTCGTTAGTTTTAGAAGCAGGAATATAACCTTTCCGAACTGCAAATCAGCTGTGAAATTTCAGAGATGTTGTTTCTGTTGGATCATAGATACATAGGGGAGATCTTTACCTCTTGCTTGATAGCCGTTTAATTTTCTTCTCCTTATGTTTTCTTTTTAACCTTCACAACCAGAGGTTCCAAGGGATCATAAGCAAAACAAAGAGGAATTCCTCGCAGGAAGCCTGCTTTTGTTTTACCTTCCTTCTCAAACCTCTATGCATTCCATTCCTGGAAAATGTACTACCCATCCCTATTAGTATTGCCTAACAACTTTCTAACAGCTTCCTTAGCATTTGGCCTTTATGTGTGCAGGAGCCCTTTAAATTCATAATTGGGCTCCTTGTACGAAAGGAAAATGTTCCCCATGTCCCAAAATGCTCCTGTCTTGGAGCAGGTCCAAAGAAGGGCAACAAGGCTTGTGAAGAGCTTGAAGAATATGCCCTACAAGGAGAGGAGGAGAGACTGAAAGAACTGGGGCTGTTTAGTCTGGGAAAAAGGAGGCTGAGGGGAGACCTTATTGCTCTCTTCCAGTATCTGAAAGGTGCTTACAGCGAGAGCGGGGTTGGTCTCTTCTCACTGGTGACAGGTGACAGGACGAGGGGAAATGGCCTCAAGTTGCACCAGGGTAAGTTTAGGTTGGATGTCAGGAAAAACTTCTTTACAAAAAGGGTTATTAAGCACTGGAATAGGCTCCCCAGGGAGGTGGTTGAGTCACCATCCCTGGATGTGTTTAAAAACCGTTTGGATGTGGTGCTCAGGGACATGATTTAGCGGAGGGTTGTTAGTTAGGGTAGTATGGTTAGGGTGTGGTTGGACTCAGTGATCTCTAAGGTCTTTTCCAGCCTGAGCGATTCTGTGATTCTGTCCCTTCTCTGCCTTCTGATCCCAGCCTTCTGGCTGCTGCTCGTACCCACCAGATCAGAGAGCCCATTGACTCCTGTCCTTCCCTCCTGTTTTGCCACTGCACCTTGCTACCCTGTGCGTGCCTTTCCTCCAGCCCTTGTAGGTGCTGCTCTCCTGAGTGCTCTGAATACCTGTTAATTAAGTGACATCACAGTCAGCCTTGCTGAAGTAGCCACTTGAGAAAGCTGTTGTATCTGCTGAGGTACTGAGGTTACATGCCTACTAAGGGAAGCAGTGTTATTTCCATCTGCATCTGCAAAGATACTTTCTTTATGGATCAGTGAGTTCTTACTGGGTTGGTTTTTTGTGTGGTTTTTTTTTTTCTTTTAAATTGGCAGGAATTTGCAATTCAGTTACTCAGGTGTTTAGTTTCTTTTTTTTTGGTTTGTTTGTTTTACTGAAATGTATTGTCTTTAGGTAATATTTTAGACTGTTGTCATGGTTTTATGATTTTTGGTTATCAGTATTCTACATCATAACATCATGTAGTGCACTGGGAGTTAAAGAGTTAATGTGTTGTCCCAGCTGTTTCACTGTCTTGGAGGTGAAAGCTGGGAGTCCTAGCTGCTGCTTCCAAATTCTGACTGTAACCTATTAAACCATTAAGACCATTGTTATGGAGAAACACGAAGTAACAGAATTGGTGAAAGAACCTTTCAGATAGGTTCCATCATGTGAAAATACCGTTTCTTCAATGGCAAGGAAGACATTGTGGAGAGAAACAGCATCACTTGTTTCTTGTTTGTTGTTTATTGTTGCTGTTGTTACCGATTTAGCAACGGTGAAAGCAAAACTAGTTAAGTCTTTCTCCTTCCAGCCCCCATGCCTTGAAAGGCACAGATCCGCTGAACCAGTTTTGTACCGTGGAGATACAGTTGAGGACTGACTTTGGCAGCGCTCAGTTCTTCGAAAGGAATTCAGCACAGAGCAGCAGCACAGCACCAAAACTGCCTGTGGGCTGTGCTGGGTGCTCCGGGTGCAATACAAACAGTGCCACGCCTCAACCTGTTCATCTGGCTTCTGGAGGTGGGGATGCTCCCGGTGAGGAGGCTGCCCTGGGTGTTCGGTTTGGAGGTGATGTGAGACTCCTGGGCAGTCGCAGAGGCTCGCTGCCATTCCCCATCACAGGGAGCTGGTGAGACTCAGCTGAGTGGGAAGGCAGCGGTGCTGATTGCAGAGCAGCAGAATGGATCCCGTATGTTGCTCGTGGGGGCAGGTGTGGTGTTGATGAGTTTGTTGGTTTGTTGGCTGAGCTTTGATCTAGGCTTTGAGGAGGGGAGTACTGGAGGGGGAATGGAGCTGGAGGCAGGGTTGCTGTTTGAGGCTGTCAGCAGTTGCAGGCTTTGTGAGAAGCAGCTTGAAGATCTTCTGTACCGTGCAAAAGGAAAAGTAGTTTAGATGCGTGCAGTGGTCATGTGCTGGACACAGTAATGTGAAACTTTAGTGTTAATGCTTTTACTAGCTTTTAGTGGCCAGTATTTTGTTTTGCAGTACATTAGTAAGCATCTGAATTGGTAGTGTTGGTTGTAATTATACAATTGGCAGAACTAGTGTAAATTTCAGAGTTTAGAAACAGAATGTACATTCTTTTTGGCAGTGTTTCTTTTAGTCTGTGTTGTAGTTGCTGATGTTAGGATGTACATATGTATTCATTTAAATATACATGAATATACCTGACAGTGTTTTGCTGGTGGTTCAGTATAGGTAATATAAATTGATGTATTAAGGAAACTCAATTATTTCCTGGTTTTGCTCAGGTTTGTGTTTTGTAGCTTTATGAAAGAACTATTATTTCATACTAAAGAAGGGACTAAGCACTTTTTTCCCCCTTTCCTCCTCTGTTGCTTCCCAAGGCTCCAAGCCACAAGCAGGAAGAGAACCTAATCACAGCCTGAAAAAAGAACAGAATGTGCTAGCTAGAATTTGTCTTTTCAGAGATGGAGCAGTAATATCCTGCATACATAGAGCAACTACTGTTTGTTTAGAACTTACGTATATAGTACTGTTATTTGGAACTGCGTATCATGCAGGGAATTCGATGTTTTTTTGGCAATACCTCTTCATATCTGTAAGTCTTACAGAATTGATGGCATTTCTTCAAGTCCTAGTTGGGAGCAAAGATGAGGTGTCCTGACCTTATACTTTCTCTTGAAGCTAATATATGTAATTTTTTCTGGCAACTTTCCGAGGTCCAGATGTTTTTATTTTCTCTGTAGCTTGTTTATGTGTGGGTGGGATATGTTAGTAGCCTATGCATTTTAGGTTGATTTCTTTTTACGCTTGTTTTGGCAGTTGTTCTTGCTGTTAGAGCAGACTGCTATGTGAAGCTCTTCTGTGTAGGTAGAATCTGTAGGGGTGCTTTTGAGCATAGAAATGTCATTAGACATAGTTCCATAGTTTTGGATTTAGGATCTGTCTGACTTTTTCCTACAGGATAAAGCTCCCTATTAGAATTCTTAGAGTAGCAGAAAGCAGGAGCTCCTAAAGACTGAAGTTTAGTCCCATCGCTATTTGAAGCTAGCACGAGATACTAGCTGACATTTCCATGTTCTCTTGCAATTTAAATACATGGCCTTGAGATGGATTGACTCAGCTTTAGGAAACATTACCTAATTCTGTTGCTTTTAATGCCTGTTTGCATAAAAGGATGTAAGAGAAATAATATTCTGAATGCCTGTGGTGAGGCTACAGCACATATTAATTAGGAAGAGTTGTGTTTGCGTTGAAGCTTAGTCTGACAAATGTTCCATTCACTCCATTAGAACTATGCCAGCCTGTATCTTGAGTGCATCTACCAATTACCTTTAATTTGTATTACTTAAGCATTAAGTAATGCTAACATTAAGAATGAAGGAAGAGAGTAATAAGGACGAGTAGAAAAAGAAAGTTGTAGAGGTCTGTGAAACTATCAGTCACTGTAATGATTTGGTGACAGTGCTTCTGAATATTCTTGTCCTTATCAAGTGCTGTAATTTCTGAAGAGTAAGCATGTGTGGTTGGAGAGAGGGTTGTTTAGTGCTGCTGTTCTTTTGGTTGGTTGTTTTTTGTTGGGTTTTTGATTTAATTCTATGTATAGAAATAGTG